AGCAGGAATGGAGGCTCTGCAGAGCTGGGCTGAGCTCTGGACAGTCTGTCTGAATACATTTGGGAACTTTTCTCATTTGGACCCTTTTTTTTTTTTTTTTTGTACCAGGTACAAAAAAAAAGTGGGCACTCACCCACTGAGCCACATCCCNAGCCCTATTTCATATTTTATTTAGAGACAGGGTCTCACTGAGTTGTTTAGCTCCTCGCCATTGCTGAGGCTGGCTTTGAACTTTTGATCCTCCTGTCTCAGCCTCCAGAGCCCCTGGGACGACAGGTGTGGGCCACTGCGCCTGGCTGGGCCCTGTTTTTTAATTATTATTATTATTTTAAAAATTTGTTACGGGGTCCCACTATGTCACCCAGGCTGGTCTCACCACAGCCTCCCAAGTAGCTGGTACCACAGGCAAGTGCCACWGCACCCAGCTTCTTTGGGCATTTTCAAAATGTCCCTCCACGGAGACAAAGATGCAGCTTCAGTGCCACCTGGAGAGATCAAGGAAGGGCCCAAGCAGAGTGTGCCCAGGACATGGTTCTCTGCTCTGGAATGAGCTGGAAGTAAAGTTCAAGGTCCCCCACCATTAGGSGGGGCCACTGGGTATGGGCCCTGTTCTAGGCATGGCTGTAGTGCGGGGACAGACGAGCGGCACACACATACAAGAGCCTCCCTCACACCACTCCTGAGAAAGGTCCTGAAGGTAACGTGATGGCGACCAGGGCTGCTGCCCTGGCCAAGCATCCTGGAAGGCCTTGTCCATAAGGCAAGGCTGGAGGTGAGCCCTTGTCCTTGTGAAGGCCGGAGGCCGCCGCCCAGAGTGCACGTAGGSACAGGTGCTTGCCTTAGGTTTGGTTCACAGCCAGCCCGGCTCTAGGGTCAGACTGGCTGCCAGCCCAGGACCTCAGGGCAGGGAGCTGGGAGGCCAGCTGAGGGCCAGGGTCCCCCCTGCTGCATCCCAGAGAGCTCCTCCTTGACCCCGAAGGAATCCTAGCACCAGCTGCCAAAGGAGGGTCTCCCACCAGCCAGGCTCCCCAACCCTCCTGCCGACGTTGATCGGTACCCTAGACGTGAGCACCCCAGTCATTTAGAGGGGCCCTGTCGGGTGCCTGTTGTGTTGTCTGGAGGCAGGAACAAGGCGCACCTTCCCCTCCTTTCAGATGAGAAGTAGCCCTCTCACCAAGCCCYGAGTCCCCCAGAGAGTGTCCCTGCCCCGCTCCTACTCCAGGCTCTGAACACATCTGCAGCCTTAAGTTACCGGAGTGTGCAGATGCTCCCCGCCTGGGCACCTGCCTGTCCGCCCCCTCTTCAGGAGACACTCTGCCCCTGGTTTACACAAGGCTGCTTCCATCACCCTTTGGGCTCAGTTATAGGGCCCCTTAGAGAGGTCCCCAGCCCACATCTCAGCAGGTGGACTCAGCTCCACGGATTCTGCMGTCTTTCCCAGTTGGTTTTGATCATTTGTGATCAGACATTTCTCTCTAGAGGAGATGTGACCCTCGTGAACTCAAGGAGCTCAACTTCTTGGTCCACTGATGGATTCCCAGAGCCTAGATCAACTGGCACAGAGCAGGTAATTAACAGAAATTTGCTGAACGTCTGTGTGCACGAACAAATGAGCTCTCTGAAAGAAAGAGACCTGGTAGTAGTGGTTGKACTGGAGAAGACACTGGTGGAGGAGGAAGAAAGGGCTAACTAATTTGCTGGGCAAAAATGTAGTACAGGCTGGAGACAAGTTCTAGGGTCAAGAAGGCAAATGTCCAGGGATGAGAAAACACTTCAAAGGCACTGTGGCATAGCCGAAAGAGCAAGGGTGTAATGAAACCAGAACCTTTGCATTTCCCTATGAGCTGTGTGATGCTGAGCAAGTGTCTTAACCTCTCTGTGTCTGAGCTTCCTCGTCATCTGTCAAGTGACAGCAGTGTTTTAGGGGTCTGTGTACTATAAAGAGCTACGTGGCCTCAAGGCTGTGTCAGTTCAGGCCTGGCCCCTGTGAGTGGGCTGAGGGTAGGTAACAAGAGGGGCAATTTCAACTCCCATAGAGTCAACAGGACTCAGGGGCTGTTCGGCTCTAGCCACCTCTCAGCATCTCCACGGGGAGGGAGGCTTTGGAGGAGATGAGTTTTTAAATTCTCAGCTTTTCACAAAAATAGCCTCCACGCGGAGCCCCTGGTTTCAGGCAGACGATTTCTTTGTTACTCAGCGACTGGTGGGTGGGTGGGTGGTGCCGGCTGCTCATTTCCTGAATGAACAGCTGTGCCCCCGGCTGCAGGGGGGGGATAATCATCACACCACTTCACTGAGGCCCAGCCTCCTCCATTCACTGCACCCGGCTGCTGGCGGCCCTGCGCCCATGCTGGCAGCCAGGAGGGGCCTCGGGGAAGGAAACTGGATGCCCAGGGAGGGGCTAAGGTCCTCAGCCCTGGCCCTGGCCTCCTCTGCAGTGAGCCAGGCCTCAGCCTCCTCGGAACTGGCCTTCAGGGCCTCCTGGCCTCCGAGCCCGGGTCCTTCCTCTCCCTCCCCTCCCCTGTCCTGCCACGCCAGCCTCCCCCTCTGCAGTGCCAACATGCACACCCCCAGGCCTCTCCCCTCTGTAATATGTCTCTGTTTTCTGCCAAGGCTGGCTCCTTCTTGTCACTTGGAGCTTAGAGAAGTCCTCCTTGGCACCCCTGGCTGCTGGCCCCTGGCTCAGCCATCAAAAGGTCAAGGTGACTGGGAGGAGAGCCCGACTCTGACGTTCCCGCCCAGGTCCTGACACTGGTTCCGATGGGCCAGGCGGGGACAGGGGCCCTGCAGATGGAGAGGGGAATGATTTCCCGGGTGACAGCAGGGAGGCAGTTCCAGCAGAGGGGACAGGTGTCCACTGTGGCCCCAGCCCTTCTTCACAAGCGCAGGCTGGTGTGTGGGGAAGTCACAGGCTCCTGTCAGACACTAGGAGCCCTGTGACCCCAAGAGGGCTCCAAGCCGGTCTCCTCCTCCAGGCGAGCCTCATGGAGCTGTTACCAGAGGCAGGCGAGGGGTGCCCAGGAGGGCATTTTGAGAACTGAAGAAGACAAAGAGGAGAGCAGAGGATCTGAGGTGAGGAGGGGGCTTCCTCCGTGGAGATCTTCCGTCAGGGCCGGGAGGAAGTCAGAAGGCTGGGCCTGCCTCTTGTCCCGTCAGGAACTGAGTCTCATTGTTCTGGGAGGTTCTGGAAGGGCAGGGAAGTGTGGCTGGTGCTTTATGCCCCTGGGTCCAAATACCTTTCTAACCAGCTGAATGACACAGGCAAGACCTTCCTCCTCACKGACCCCCTTTCTTCCTGTAAAATAAGGATGACAAAAATAAATCTTTGGGGGGCTGGGGATATAGCTCAATGGGTAGAGTGCTTGCCTTGCATGCACAGGGCCCTGGGTTCCATCCCCAGCGTCACAAAACAAAACAGACAAAATAAATCATTGAGTCGTGTCTGATGGCACACACCTGTAATTCCAGCTACTCAGGAGGCTGAGGCAGGAGGATCTCAAGTTAGAGGTCAGCCTGCGCAACTTGGTGAGACCCTCATCAATTTATGAAGACCCTGTATCAAAATAAAATAAAAAAGGCTGGGGGTGTTGCTCAGCGGTAAAGCACCCCTTGGTTCAGTCTTCAGTACCAAAAAAAAAAAAAAAAAAAAAGAAAGAAAGAAAGAAAAAGAAAAAAAGAGACAAGAATAAAATTATTGGGTGATTGTGAGGGTGAAACACATTACCTCACAGGTAGAACAGCTTTAGTGCTTCTTACACAGCTATTTTATTAACCACTTTTAATTTTCATAGTTGTTTCTCTTTCCACTCCCACCTCCTTCTTATTTATTATTATTTATTTATTTATTTTTGTAGAGCTGGGGATTGGACTCTGGGGAGCTTTACCACTGAGCTACATTCCCAGCCCTTTTTATTTGATTTTGAGACAAATTACTGCTAAATTGCCCAGGCTGCCTCAAATTTACAATCCTCCTGCCTCAGCCTCCGGAGTAGCTGGGATTACAGGTGTGTGCCACCACACCTGGCTTCCTTCTTAATTAATTAATTTTTGCAGACCCTGTCTTTGAATAAAAGATGGGGGAAAAGGGCTGGGGATATAGCTTAGTGGTTGAGCACCCCAGCGTTCAATCCTCAGGACCGAGAGAAAAAAAGAAAATGTCGCCTGCCCAGTGGTGCTAAGGCACCAGCAGGGAAGGACTTCTTTCCAAGCCAAGGCTGAGGGGAAAGGATGGGAGGAGGCAGAGGCCCCATTGTGGAGGGGCTGAAATTCAAACCTGGCTCTTATCTGATGTGGACCCTGGGCTTCCTTTAGGAGCAGGCAGCTGTCCAGCAGGGTGCTGTGCCTGGACTGGATCAGTCCCCTCTGCCAGTGTGTGTGTGTGTGTTTTGGTGTGTGTGTGTGTGTGTGTGTGTGTGTGTGTTTGTGTGGGTGTGTGGGGGGGAGAAGCTACGTCTTTACTCCCTTAGGGTCCTCTTCAGTTCAATTGCATAGACCATCTCCAGGGCCTGCTGTGTGCCAAAAAGACGCCTTCCCGTGACTGGCCCACGTTCTCCACTCCAGGGCAGGGCATCTCACCGTCAAGCCAGGGGACAAGTGGGGGGCCATGTGGGTGCAGACGGAGGGCGGGAGCATCCAGACAGAGGAACGTCTGGGAGTCCCTGGGAACTTGGCTTGCCCCTCTGCCGGGCCTCCCTGCCCCGACGCAGCCCCGCGCGCACCCCACCCCTGGCTCTAATTGCCAGGAATGCGTCCGCAGCGCGGTCCCCAGCTCTTCCTCGCCCGCGTTCCTCAGCGGCTGCCCTGACAGGGCAAATTACACGGCGGCCCAGCCATAAAAGCCACTTCCCAAACAAGAAGCTTTAGGCTGAGACGCAGCTCAGTCACTCCCCGGCGGTGCCTGGCTCGGGAGGTGGTGTCTGGGTCGGAGGCGACAAAGCCGGTGTCCCTTTAAGCCGGGATACAAATTCCCACCGGCCCCTCCCGCCGCTCCCCTGACGTCAGCGGGAGGCGTGCGGGAGTGAGTGGGGGGCCGCGGCGCGCTCCGCGGCGCCTCGCACTCGGCACAGCCGCGGGACCGTCCCCCGCCAGCTCCGCCCCGAGGCCGAGCGCCCGGACCCCGCGCTGGGAGAGGTAAGGGCGGGACGGCGAGGGCACCGGCGCTGGGAACGGCGGCTCCGGCGGGGACCGGGCGGGGGGCGCGGGGACCGGCGGGAGGGGGCTGCGCCCGCCCGGCTCTCGGCGGCGGGAGGAGGCCGGGGGCCGCGGCGACAGCGCCCCTCCCGCCCCCCCCCCCCCGCTGGACCCCCAGGGGAGCCAAGGCGGAGCGGCTCCCCAGCCGGCGTGCGCCTGTCGGGGCTCGGTGTGGCCCCGGAGGCGGAGGCGGCCGGTCCCTACCCAGCCACGGCCTCGGTCTGGGGACCCGGGAGGGAGCCGGTGGCGGGGAAACCACAGGGCGCCGTGCGGACGCCAAAGGCGAGTGCTGCTGGGAGCATCCCCGGTCTCTGCCCCTGGAATCTGGGCTGGGACTGGGAGGGACCGTCGGGGACCAGCAGACTGTGGCGCCCGGAGCAGCTGTTTCCTCGGGACTCTATTTTCCCCCTTGTGGATGGGGATAGCGGTGTTAATTGGCTTGGAGAGGTGGATCCTTGTCATTTTCACCTTGGAGCCACCCCACCGAGCGTCCCTGCCTCTCCCCAGCCTGCTGGACTCCCTCTGGCCTCCCCCTTGTTGGGCACAGCCCTACTCCCCCAGGGCAGGGTGATAAGCCAGGACCTGCAGGGACACTGCTGCTGTGGGATGGATGCTGGGAGTCAGGGTGGCCTTGGCTGGCAGCTGACCCCTGAGTGGCCTGGCCCTGACATGAGAAGGCCGGGTGGAGACAGGGGCGATGCTGGCTGGCACCCACGGGGTGGGTGGGGGTGCAGCAGGTCCTGCCAGGCTGCCAGCCTGCGGGTTCTTCCCGGGGAGAGGAGGGAGACCAGAGAGAACAATAATAAATACAGAGGGTGAACTGCTGTGTGGCAGCCTGGGGGAGGGGAGGAGGAAGTGTACCCAGCGGGGGTGGGCAACCTCTCTGAGAGCCTGGCACCACTCGCCTGATGCCCTCCAGGAGGGGGCTTTCTGCCCTGGGGAGGGGGGAGCGTTTTTCCCAAACCTGACTCCATCACAGATGCCTCTGGGCCTCCAAATTCTGAACGTTTCCTCTTCCCAGCCTTGCCTCCCCCCACCATCTCCCTGAAGTCCTTTCATTATTTGCCTATTCTGATTTGTATGCCCCTACCTCCAAAAAATTAAAAATAATAATAAATAAAAGGTGCAAGACGTAAATAGGAACTGGAAGCTCAGGGGGCTGGGAGGGCCACAGGACAGTCTTGGCCACAGACATTTACACCAGGCCTGGAAGAGATGGCTGGACAATGTTCATGGATGCTTGCTGGTCAGGGGGCCTCTAGGGACCCTGGAGAAACCACACTGATGGGTGGTGGAGAGGGGACATCCATCAATCCAGGACACCCTCAGGGCGGCACCCGGCAGAGGGCGCTCTGAGCTTGGCTGAGCCGGTCACGTCCACTAGTCACAAMCTTGGTGGCCAAGACCCAGAGCCTTGTGGAGGGGTGCTTGGGCAGTTCAGATATCGATGTCCATGCTGCCCAGCAACGTGGGGGGCTCTTCCTCTGCCTCAAAGCCAGTGAAATGGTAGGCCTGGAGTGTGGGGGACAGAGCACACTGGACATCTCCAGGCTCTGGGGTCTCACTGATTTTCATTCAAGCTCAGCCACTCTGTGTGACTTTGATTAGTCTGTTCCTCTTTCTAGGGGGCTCAGAATGGGAAAGTGACTTGCCTAGGACCACACAGCCAGGCGGAGGCGGAGCTGGGATGTGAAGTGCTCTCCTGGTGTGGTCCTAAAGGTTCCCAACACTGTCCCTGCCAAAGAAGCCCAAAGGCCTTAAACACAGTGGCCCAAGACAGCCAGGGCTCAGACAGGGGCAGGGCAAGTGGACACTCAAGTCATTAGGCACTAGCATTGGCTGAGGCAGCCCTCTGTGCATACCAGGCACAAGTGTGCGCGCACACACACACACACACACACACACACACACACACACACACACACACGCGCTGTGGGGGGAGGAACCAGGTTTAATTAGGTCAACTCCAGCTGCAGGAGCAGCTTTGACACTGGTATTTTAAGGAGTGTCTGGGAGGCTGGGGGAAGGGAGCAGCCAGACAAGTTTCAGCTTCTGTCTGGTGGTCCCAAGGTTATGATGTCACCCTACAGGGTGACAAAGCCCCCAGCATTCAGCAAGCCCTTCCATTGCCATCCTCATGTTCCCCATCCTTTCTATTTTTAAGCAGCTGTACCCATTCTTCTCCATCTGCTCCCCCATGATGGGGGCTTTGGGCTGGGATGTTTTTATTGGGRGAATTGTTTTTAAGTGTGGCAGAGTTGGTGAGTGACTCACCCAAGGTCAAGGTCTGAGTCAGCGCAATGCCAGAAATAGAACCCCAGTCCTGGCTCCCCAGCTTTTCCACACCCCTGCTCCCCCTCGGGGGCAGTTGGTCCCTAGCCCCTCCCGCCCAGGGCCTTTCTGTACTTTGCCCCCAGACATCTCCAGGGTGCAGAAAAGGTACTCTTGACCAGCCGTGGGACCTCAGGGAGCCTCTTTCACTCCTCTGGATCCCGAGTGTGCTGATGGCAGTCTTTGCGTAGGTTGGGGTGCAGGGCTTGGCAGGTGGCTATAGCTGTTAGGTGATAGCAGGACTTCCTCTGCCAAACTCGAATCATGTGCCCATTTTCCACACTGAACTGGGGCTCTCCAAGGGCAGAGCTGTCTTCCACATGTTTGTCACGGTGCCTGGTACTTCGTTTTATTTCAGTTACAGGTGTATGTGTAAATATTTTTTTTTTATTGGAATATAGGACACTGGTTAGGAAATGTCACCTTGGGGTCTGCCCCTTATATGTGTGTGTGTGTGTGTGTGTTTATTTATTTATTTCACTCATTTATTTCATTTATTTTTTTTACGTGGTGCTGAGGATCGAACCCAGGGTCCTGCACATGTGAGACGAGCGCTCTACCGCTGAGCCACAACCCAGCCCCCTTATGTATATTTTTGACAACCTCAGAGGAGAGGTGGACTGACCTTCTTCAATCATCTGGAACAGCCATGATTCATGTAGCTAGAGATAAAGCTGAAGCCCAGAGAGGGACATGTGCTAGTCCCACATGTGCTAGTCTACACAGCATTGGGTTTGCTCTCCCCCAGCTCCCCTGGTGGGGAAGGACCGTAGCAACCATTTCTGCTCCATTCTTTTGGAGGGGAGTTGAGAACTAGAGCAGAGCCCCAGCTGGCTATGGTCACCTGCTGCCAGGGCTGAGTCACCATTCAGAGTGCCATGGCTCTATGACACTGCATCACACCTGGGTCATCTCCAAATAGGCCTGACGTTTTGTTTTTGTATCCCTGGACCCCCCACTGGTAGATCAGGGTCCCCTGGAGTTTGGCTTTCATGCAGGGCAGAACCAAAGTCTGTGGCCCCGAAGATACCCTCCCACAGGGACATCGCCTGGCTCTGCCCTGAGCAGGTGTCCTGATGAGGACACTGAGACCGGGAAGGGAGGGTCGCTGAGCAAGTGCTGCAGAGGTGGATCCAGCCTGGGCAGCCCCCCTGCTGCCAGGAGCTGGTTCTGAAGGGAATTATTCCAGACACCAAAGCCCCCRGACAGACACCAGATCCCTCTAGGGATGGCCTTTCCTGGAGTTGAAGCAAGTCTCWGTCTCTCTGCTCTTAGGGGAGTTTATTTTTGCCTTTAGTTTCTCAGGGAAAGTTCTTTTTGGGAAAATTCCAGCCTCAACCCAGCTGAACCAGGAACAGAACTGATCCTCATAGGTAGAACACTGGCTCTCCATCTGACAGTTCTGGGCTCTGTCACTGGCCTGCTTACCTGTGTGACCGTGGGTGAGTCATTTAACCTCTCGGAGCCTCAGCTGCCTCATGTATAAAATGGAAACAATTATAATTTAGCCTTTCAGGACGAGTGGAAGGTTACAGAATAGAAATCAGTCCCTTACAGCCCTGTACAGCGGGAGGCATTCGGACAGCAAACCCTTCAGCATTTCCCCTGCCCTCTTTGACTGTGACACTCTGGAGACAGGGTCTGAATGGAGGCTTGCTCTGTGTCCCCACCCCATCTCCCTCACCTCCCAGGCTGCTGGGTGTTGAGCAGCTCCTCCCAGTCCAGAGCCCTCTCCAAGGTCACACAGCAAGTCCACAGCATCATGGGGCCTCTCACAGGGCTCCTGACTCCCCACTGTAAGGCCCCCCCGGTCAGCTTGTCCTGGCCTAAGTCCCGGCTCAGACATGGTGGCCTTGACTGAGTGACTGAATCTCTCTGAGCCTCGGTTTCCTTGTCTGTAAAATGGGGTCAGAGGCCTGCAGCAGGAATTGAATAAAAAGAAACTTCAGGCTGGGCTGTAGTTGGTGGAGCGCTTGCCTACTATGCACAGGCCTGGGTTCAATTCCCAGAGCCCCCCCAAAAAGAGAGAAAGAAACTGAAGGTATGAGGGGCAGGGACCCAGCAGTGGGCAAGTCCCAAGGAGGGTAAGAGTGGAAGGCCAGCTGGGCCCACGTGCCCCCACAGCACCTCCAAACCTAAAACAGCCCGCCTGGGAGGAGCGAACCCTGTCCATCCCATCCATCCTCAAGACACAGTTCCATTTCTTGGATGGAGAAGAGGAGGCTGGTGGGAGGGGCAGGCTGTAGGGCCTTGGCTCTCTGCATGGTGGAAGCTGCCTGCAGCTATGCCCTGACGTGCCTCCTGCCTTCTCCTGGGAAAGGGCTTCTGTGGCTCTTCTATCCCCGCCCCCACTGGTCTCAGCTGCTTCTAGCCCCCATCCTGGGAGAGGAGGCAGGGAGGCTGTCCTCGCTTTACCCTTCCCACTGCCTGCTTAATGTGGAGTCTGGAGTGGTGGTCACCTGGCTGACCTGGGAGCAATGGGCATCTGGTTGGCTCAGCAGTCCCCTGCTCAGTGCCTGCATCTCCCTGGTAACTGCTGGACTCTGTCCCCCTCCCCCATTCCCCCCAGGACTTCCCATCACCGGCTGTCACTGCCAAGCACAACTCCAGGCCTGGGAAAACTGCAGTGGGGAGGCCTGGACGCCCTGCTTCCCAGAGAGCCCAAGGCAGGCTTCTGTCCTCACCACCTGACAGCCTTCGCCCAGGTGGGGTAGGCTGTCCAAGGAAGGCCTGGCACCTAGTGCCTCCCCAGATGGGGCGTTTTGGGGAAGCTTGCTGCCTGGGGAAGCTTGCTGCCTGTCTTTTTTTTTTTTTTTTTTGGTAACAGTTTTGTTGAGATATTATTTATAGGCCTTACAATCCACCTGCTTAAAGTGTGAGATTCTGGGGCCTGGGTGTGGCTCCAAGGTCAAGGGCCTGCCTGGTGTTCACGAAGCCATGGGCTCCATCTACAGCACCACAAAACAAACACACAAAAAATCTCTGCCCTGTCCCCTCCCACAGCCCCTCTTCTGGTCATTGCATGTAAATGGAATCATGCAATGTGTGGGCTTTGTAAAGGCTTCTTCCGCCTGGCGACCCGTGTTCAGGGTTCACCTGTGTTGCGGTGTGGTGTGAATTGCTACTTGGGGTCTTTTCACGGCCCAGCGATGTCCTTCTATAAGGCTGTACCTCAGTTTGTTCGTCTGTTGGTGGACATTTGGGTTGTTTCTATTTTTTTACTTTTTTAATAGAGTTGCTGTGRAATGAATTTGTTTTTTAAGTTGTAGGTGGACACGATATCTTTATGTTATTTATTTTTGTTTACGTGGTGCTGAGGATCAAACCCAGTGCCTCACAGGCACTAGGCAAGTGCTCTACCCCGAGCCACCATCCCAGCCCCATTGGCTGAAAGTTTTTGTATGGTTGCTTCTCTCTCTCTTTTTTCACTTTTCTCCTTACTTTTTTTTTTTTTTTTTTGCAGTGCTGGGGATGTCACCCAGAGCCTCATGCATGCCAGGCACCAGGCAGGCGCCCTATCCCTAGGCTTCATCCCTAGCCCTTTTTTCTTCTAAGGGGCACATGGCTGGGGTGTGACTCAGTGGTAAAGTGCTTGCCTAGCATGGTGAGCTAGGTCAACCCTGGGTTTGATCCTCAGCACTTCAAAAAGTGGGGGAAAAGTATATTTTACCCAGGCAGGAGGACTGCTTGAGCCCAAGCGTTCTAGGCCAGCCTGGGCACATACGTAGTGAGATCCTGTCTCAAAAAATAACAATAACATGGGGTTGGGGAAATAGCTCAGTTGGTAGAGTGCTTGCCTTGCATACAGAAGGCCATGGGTTCAATCCTCAGCGCCACCAAAAAAAAAAAAAAAAAGATGAGGAGCTGTTGCATAGCTTGGTGGTTGAGTGTGTGCCTAGCATGCATTTGCAGCAGCAATCAATCAATTTGAAAAATAAAAAAATAAAATGGGGATGAAAATGCCAAGCCCGGCCCCCTAACTCCTGGAGTAAGCTCCAAGCTGAGTGCCCCACAGCCCTCCCCGGCTACATGGGGAGAGCATGGGAGGCGGGAGGGTTCTTCCCCACCTCCACCTCCAGGGATGCAGAGCCAGCTCACCATCCAGGGATGCAGAGCCAGCTCACCATCTTGGCCCAGAAAATTCTCACTTGTGATTTGGGGCAGAAGCCAGGGGACATGCTGCAGTGACAGGGTGGACCAGTGGCTCCTAGGCTCTGGAGCCCTGCTAGGTGGTGTCTTCCTGCCCTTGGACTCTGAACTCCTGAGAAGCCATAGCCAAGACCCACCACAGCCTCAGAGGGGGTGAGGCAGGGGTTATCAGCCCCGCTCGATGAGGAAACAGAGGCCAATGGAATGCCACCCAGGATCAACAGCTGATAAGGAGCCTGGAGAGCTCTCCTGGGCCCAGGCCGCCCGGCTCAACTGGGCAAGTGCTTCTCCCTCCCCGGGTTCCTCAGCAGCTTTAGTTGGGTTCCAGGACTTCTTGACCCTTTTCCTCAGTAGAGGAACACACAGGGTGGGTTTTCTCAAGGTCATCTAGGCACCAGCTGTTGACTGGGGACTTCTATTAATTTGCATTGACAATATGGGTGCATTGGGTCTCTCAGGATGCCAGGCACTGGCCCACACTCATCATCATTTCATCCTCCATATCCTCACATGACATTATTGACCTCGTTTTGCTTCTTCCTCTTCTTTGCTGCTGTACTAGAGATGGAGCTTAGGGCTTCACATGCTGGGCAAGCGCTCTTCCACTAAGCTACACCCCCAGCCCTTCAGCCTCATTTTGAGAGGCTGAAACTGGGCTAAGGAAAAATAGCCCACATTCCCAAGAGCTCATGGTGCACTGGTCTTGTTCACTCTCTCCCTCTCTCCCCCTCTCCCCCTCTCCCCCTCTCCCCCTCTCCCCCTCTCCCCCTCTCCCYCTCTCCCCCTYTCCCCCCCCCCCCCCCCCCCCCCCCGCGGTCCCCTGCAGTGCTGAGGATCAACCCCAGGGCCTTGTGCTTGCTAGGCAAGTGTGGTCCGGTTTTAGGCATGTATTTAACCCTCAGAGTAACCTTTCTATGAAGTAAGAAGCAACCTATACCCAAATTTTAGAGCAAATGATGCAAAAGGTCAAGAGTGTCGATCAAGGCCCCRGAGCAGGTAGGTGGATTCAAACCCGTGCTGTCAGGTCTGGASCCCGCACCCCTGGCCACCATGTGGGTCTGCAGAGGTCATGCTTAAGATCACCAAGTTGTAGGTGACCGAGTTGGGATTTGAACCTAGAGCTGTGAACTTGAAACACAATTCAAATCTTGGCCACCCTGCATTGCACCTCCCCGGCCCCTGGCGTTAGAAGCCTGGACTGCAGGTTGAAGCACTTGGGGCTGACATGGCATTTGTTTGTTTTTGTTTTGGTGCTGAGGTGGAACCCAGGGCCCCACACAGGCTGAGYGTGTGGTTTACCCCTGAGCTGCACCCAACTCTGACATGACCACTGTGTCCTCCTGGTGGACAGAGAGGCTGAGAGGCCTGAGAGGCTGAGGCCATGCTGCAGGAGCGGCAGGCGGGAACCGCCCTCCCTCCTCGTGCCCAGCGCGCAGAGCTGTCCCCAGCATGCAGAGCGTACCCMGCAGTACTCACCCATGCCTCCCTCTCTCCCTTGCAGACGGAGCCTGTGGCTGGCAAGGCCACCGAGCAGGGCCAGGCCGGGCCCTGCCCGCAAGGACGCCCAAACCCTTCACCGGCCCCCAAGCCACAGAGCCCACCAGGCTCTCCTGCCAGCCCCACCATGACATCGGAGGAGCCCACGTCGCCTCCTGTGGTGCCCCCACTCCACTCCCCCAAGTCCCCTGTCTGGCCTACCTTCCCTTTCCACAGGGAGGGCAGCAGGGTCTGGGAACGAGGCGGAGTCGCTTCTCGGGACCTGCCCAGCCCTCTGCCGACCAAACGGACGAGGACATATTCAGCGTGAGTATGGCTCCTGGCTCAGTCTCTGGTCTTCCCTCAGGACGGGGCTGACCCCACCCATTCCCATCCTCTATCACCCACTGTCCTCACCTGAGGATGGAGAAGCTGTGTTTGGAGCTTCCAGTAACTTCCATGTTTATTCCTTCATCCCACAAAAATGTACTGAGCTCCTGACCAGGGACCCAGAGATGAGTGAGACAAGAGCCCCATTCGCAGTTGCTCACAGTCTGGGGACCCTGTCCCCCACCATCGACGCCTGGCAGGGATGGGCAAGGAGAACCCAGGCCCAGGGACGAGGGCCTGCTCGCAGGGTTGGGAAGGTGTTCCTGGTGGCCCGGGAAGGCGGAGCCGCACGGGGCTTGCCTTTCGGGAGGGGGGGGGCAGGCTGGCTCTGTGGGGCAGGTCAGGTCACTGGATGAGGCCATGAGGGTCGCAGTGGGGGGTTATGAGACCCACAGGGACACAGACTTGGCTTGGCCGAAGGTGTTTTCCGTTTGTTTGTTTTCTGTGGCAATGTTGACTGTCCTGTGTCAGACCCAAGTCCGGGCACAGAGCCGATGCTTAGCAAATGGCAAGTGAAAATGAGTGAGGAACGCGTGGGTGACAGCAGCTTCAGGAGCGCGAGTTCCCTCGTGGGGAGGTACTCAAGCCYGGGCTGGACGTTCTTCATCAGGGTTCTTACAACAGGAACCCATTTAAGCCCAAACAAGGAGGGGAGGGTGCTGTGTAGACAGGGGGCACTGGCAAGGAGTCAGGAGACCCTCTTGCTGTGCTACCCTGGGAGAGTCAGTTTCCCTCTCTGGGTCTCAGTCAAATGGGAATGATGTGAAGTTGAATGAGCAGCATTCTGTGTTCCCACAGCCCTGAGGCCAGCTTCACAGGCAGGGCCCAGGGAGGGTGGGGTTCCAGAGGGGTCTCCCCAGGCCGCAGCTCCAATCCCCCTACCCTATCCCCAGGACAGCCCGGGCCTCTGCCGGCCCTGTGTTCAAGGGCGTCTGTAAGCAGTTCTCACGCTCGCAGGGCCACGGCTTCATCACCCCCGAGAACGGATCGGAGGACATCTTCGTGCATGTATCTGAGTGAGTTCCCTTCACCTCCTTGTTCCTGGCTCAGAGGGGCCTCTCCTGCTTCCCCTTAGGCTGGCGAGGTCTGTGTCCCTCTTAGGTGGGGCTGGGGGTGTGTGGAAGGAGGCAGCTGGGGCTGGGGGAAGGGGGCATGCAGACCTAAGAGCCCTGGGAGCCCTGGGAGCCTGTTGCAGCCTTGTGGGGACCCGAGGGGCTGGACCAGCTCCYGGGCCTCAGCCGGGAAGGGGCCTTTGGTAGATAATGACGGGGAGAGGTGGGTCTCGGCCTGTCCGCACCCACCCCTAATGCCATGATGGAGGATCTCGGAGACACCCCTGTGATCTTTCACCCTCAGCTCCCAGAGAAGGAACTATGTCTGATTCCTGTTTCACAGAGAGAGAGAGACGAGGCTTTGCTAGGCGATTGGCGCAGGCTCCCTGGCCTCTCTAGGCTGGGGCCAGGCTGCCTTGGGCCAGTGGTGTCCGGAGAGGGGCCTGCTCTTGGGCTGACGCCCCTCTCCTATTCACCAGCATTGAGGGAGAGTATGTGCCCGTGGAAGGCGACGAGGTGACCTACAAGATGTGCCCCATCCCACCCAAGAACCAGAAGTTCCAGGCCGTGGAGGTGGTGCTCACCCAGCTGGCCCCCCACACCCCCCATGAGACGTGGTCTGGCCAGGTCGTGGGCTCCTAGGCAGGGGCAGCCACACCAGGAAGGCGGGCAGCAGCGGGCCCTGTGCCCCCACAGTGCTGCTGACCAGCCCTGGGCGGCCTCAGTGTGCACGTCCATCTGTCTGTCTGTGCTCGTGGCCGTGAGTGTGTGCCTCTACCCACCCGTGACCCGTGACTGTTGTGTGAGCCAGTCAGGAGCCGGATGGAGGGGAGGCTGCCAGCCCTGCCTTGGCCTGCCCCTCCTCCATCCTCCCTGCAGCGCACACCCCACCCTCTTGCCCCCTGTCCGCTGTTCACATGTTGACTGAGCTAGGGACTCAGGGGACTCCTCTCTTAAGAGCTTGCTCCCCTCACTGCTGCCCACAGCCCTGCTGGGCCCCAGCCCTGGTCCTGGGCAGACCTTGCTTGTGCTCCTGCCTCCTGCCCTGGGCTGGGGGTCTCTGCCATGGCCTGGCCCCTTTCCCTCAGAAGCCAGGCAGGTGAGTGCTTTCCGGGAGCCTCTAGTTCCAGCAGGGGAAGAGGAGCTCCAGAAAGGGGTTCTTGTTTCACTGGCCAGGCCCCCCTCGGCCTGGCAGTGGCTCTGAGCCCACTGAGGCTGTGTTCCTTCCCTCAAGGCAAGGAGTGGGGACACAGCTCCTCAGCTTGGATGGAGCCATCCCCTCTACCCTGACTCCCAAACTCGAGACGCTCAGCCCTGGGCCCAGCCATGACAGCTGCTGAGGACTTGCTGATGGACTGACGTGTCCCCTCAGGCCAGGCCTGGCCAGGCCCCCGAAAGATGGCCCTCAGCCTGGGAGACCATGGGCCTTGCAAACCCAGGCTAGACCCCCTTCCCACAGGTCCCTGTCAGGCCCCTAGCCAAGGTGGTCCTCATCCTGTCCAGGCTTGGAGTCCCTATGGGACTAAGATGTGTGTGTTTGTCAGAGGTGGCCTGGCCTAAGAGACCAGGCAGGCCCTGCCCACCACACCTCCTTCTAGAGAGCGCATACTTAAAGTGGCATAAAAGGGGTCACAGGCTCAAGGGAGGGCCCGCCAGGACAGCGGCCGTTATGAGACCCACTCTGCAAATAAAACTGGGGGCTCAAATACCCAGATGAGGGGATCAGTAACTGGCTGAATGGCCGTGAGGTGCCTAAAACCCAGGCGAGAGGTCAGCGGGACATCTGCTTCTCACCCCTGCCCGGTGCCCACTCCACAGAGGCAGGGAGCCCAGAGCTGCTGGGGGCACTGACCAGCCCCAACAGTGGGCAGGGCCAGCCTGACACCCCCTCTGAGCTAGGCTTCTCTGGCAAGGCCTGTCCCTGAGGATAAGGACCYGTGGCCCTCTTGGCTGAGGGCCTGTTGGTACAGGACTCCTTGCCTGCCAGGCTTCCCTCCTGTAAGCAGACCCCCTTTCTAGGTGCCCTGGGGCTGCCTGGGGGGCAGTGGGCAGCAGCTCTCCTCCCCATTCTTGGGTCCTCCAGGCCCAGTCAGAAGTCCTCCCAAGACCCCAGCCACGGACTGCCCATCCTTCCTAACACTGGCAATAAACTCTCGACTGTGACCTACACTGGCCCAGAGCTGCCTTTGTCCTGCAGGTTCCCTGGGGAAGGACACACCCAACTAGCCCTTTTGGGGCTTCAGTGTATCACACTTCCTGGGTGACCAGGGCAGGTCCCAGTCCCTGTTTCCGCATCTGCAAAGTGGTGGCTATAAAGCATTGACTGGARCCAGACATCCCCTCACACGAGTCCGACACCACACCTCATCCTGGGAATTTTAATGTACGTGACAAAGTTCTCTGAGATGTGCCCTCCCAACACTCTGCCCCTCCGTCTGCTCAGGGCAGGACAGGGGGGATCCTTATCCTCCTCTAGCACGCGCCTCCTCCTGGGTGGAGGGAGACCTGCTTGGTTCAGAAGTACGAGGAGCAGCAGCTGTGGCCAGAGTCACCAGAGTGGAAGATGGGGATACTCTGGGCACAAGGAGGACAGGAGCCAGTCTCTCTAGGAGCTGACTGGCTGGGGACCATGGGCCTCTCAGGAGGTCCTGGGCCAGAGAAGGAAGGGCCCTGGCCTCATCAAGGCCAGGCTCAGTGGACGCCGAGATGCACAGGTGTGGGCCAGTCAGGCCTCGTGGGCTGTCTCTGGGAAGAAGATCTCTTTGCATCTCCGCACTGTGTCCTGAGGAGAGACCACGCTGTGGCCAACGGTCCGGGGATCAGCATAGATCTCAAAGTCGTTCCCGCCCTGCACACAGGGAAGGGCAAAGGAGACCCTGAGGTGGTGCCTGGAGGAGGAGCTTCCCTCCCCTCACAATCCCAGGCCAGACCCCAAGGAGCCACCAGGAAGTCCATGTTTACAGCCCTGCCCTGACTTGTGTGACTTGGAACCAGTGTCCAGCCCTCTTTGGGTCCTAGGCGCCCAATCTGCCTAATGGGGTTAGTGGGCATGGGCGGTCCTCCAGGAGCCCCCCAAGAGGTCTGCTCTGTTGCCCTGAGTCCAGGCCTGGACCTCCAGTGTCTGGGTTGTGGGGAACCTGAGGGGGCTGCACTCACAGGGCTAGTCTCGTTCCCAAAGAAATGAATGGTGTCGAAGCTGTCCTGGTCCAGGCTGTCCAGACAGTAGCGCTTGTCCCAGCCCTCGGGGAAGACGTCAAAGCTGATCATGCCTCCTGTGGGGCAGACAAGGGGGCTGCTCATTCCTTCCTGGGAGCCTGCCTAGTGACGGACTCAGGTGCACAGGGATGAGGCCCTTAGAGCACTGGRGGAGCCTCACCCAGCCAGCATGGCCCAGTGGGACGTCTGGGGGATGAGCACAGTGCCCAAGGCAGGGAGAGGCGAGGAGTGGCTCAGAGAACTGGAACAAGTTGTGGCCTGGGCTCCAGGTGAGGCCCTGGGTTGTGTCTGGAGGAAGGAGGAGCCCGGGGACCCTGTGATCAGCACAGGCTTTAACTGAGCCTGGCAGCTGGTCTCGCCCTTGGCCACTGGGTGAGGGGGAGTTTGTGGTCAGGGATCAGTTGTGTCAGCCATGTGGCCGTCCGGATGCGCTGCCAGTGGTGGAGGGGAGCGGGTGGGTCTAGAGGCCTCTGCCTTGGCCCTGGGATGTGCAAGTAGACCGAGCCCAGGAGGCATGAGGAAGAAAGCTCAGCTCCCGGCATGGGGAATCTGCCTGGGCAGGAGGTGCTGGGCTCTGGCAAATACYAAACCCCTGCCTGCTTGGAGCTCAGTGTGCCTTGTGTGCCCTGAGGGGTGGGCTYCTGGGCCAGGCCTCTCAGGTCCACTGTGGGATGGACATACCTCGGGAGAACCTCAATCCCTTGCCGGCAAACTCTGTCTTCAGGGCTTCCACAAACTTCTCCCGGATCTTCTCCTTCTGCAGAGGGAAGGGTGCAGACAGAAGCTCAGGAGGCCCAGCCCTATGCTAGGCCCTGTCCACACAAGCTCATTGGTCCTCTAGGTGGGTCTGACCCCCACATTACAAATGAGGAAACAGAGGTTCAGAGAGGGACTCTGCCTTGTTCAATCAAGGTGCCCAGCCATAGTGGCAGAGCCAGGGCCTGATCCGGAAGGTCCTCGAAATGAACCTGGCCAGATGCCTGTCCATGGGTGTGGATGGGGTATTTTGAAAGAGGCCTTCGAGCAGAGGTGGGAGGAGGAAGGCCCCAGGGACAGGCAGCCACATGTCCACCTTAGGGCACAGTTCAGACCCATCAGCTCTGCCCAAGATAACAGCAAACTGAGGCTCAGGCACCAAATGAGTGTGAGAGGCCAAGGGCAGAAGACCATGACCAAGCAGCAGCAGGTCCTCCCAGCACTGGTGTGGCATAGGACGCTGATGTGGCCTCACAGTGGACCCATTCACTGGGCATGTTCTGTGCGATTCAGCAGGACCCAGGAGAGCCCCCACCCCTGCCCCTCTGAGCAGCACCTTGATGCGTGGAGCAGGGAACTGTTGCTCTGGGCCTGACCCTGCTGAGACCATAGCGGGCATGGCAGGCCAGGCCTGGGGGGGACCACGGAACATGCAAGCCTGGCCACACATCTTGGCTTCTGGGCCGGGAGGGGGGCGGGCATGGGAACAAATGGAAAGGAAGCAGCACTGAGCTCTATGGGACAGTCAGCTCACAGAGGACTGGCTTGAGAGGTTTGAACACATTCTGGGGCACCAGGGGCCACTGAGGATTTYAGGGCAAGGGAGCAGAGTGACTAGCACCACCTTGAACAGACTGGGCAGGGCTGGAACACAGGCAGGTGGTGTGGTACCTGGAGAGGCAGCCCTGGGATGCCACAAGATAAGGGCATATAGGACCCTACCCAAGACCTAAGGACAGGCTGCCAGGGCTCCAGGCTTGCCTGCTGTGTTGTGTGGCTGTGGGCAGGTCATCGAAGTCTCTGAGCCTATTTTCTTGGTTAAGCATGGGGAAATGATTAATGAAGAGGGTGCTTCCCTCTTCTGGGAAAACAGATATAAGGGATGGGACACCTGCTGGCTCTGGCTCTGCCTTCCCAGTGGTTGTGTGGGCCTCAGGGAGGCAAGAGGCCCTCCAGAAGCCCTTAACCACTCCAACCAGAAAGATCCCTGTGGCTGTGGCCATGCCTACAGAAAGCCTCCAACACAGGGTAGGAATCCTGTCGCTGAGCCCCTCCCCTCTCAGAGAAGCACCAGTGGGCAGCGGGCTGCATCAGTCTTCACTCTGCAGCCCACAGCCTAGGTGGCCCTGGGTATGTCATTTCCCCTCTGAGCCTTCATTTTCACGTTCATAAAATGGAATTAATGCCACTTGTTTCATAGATTCAAAGGCATTCCCTAGGCTGGGTATGGCTCAGCGTCGAGCACTGGCCTGGCATGCACGAGGCCTGCGCTCAACCCCAGCACTGCAAAAAGACAAAAAGTGCTTCTGGGCACTTGCTGTGTATGAGGCACACAGGACCCATCAGCCAACAAGTCACACAAGTCTGTGGAGATGATGGTTTTGGCGAGAGCTGATAGAGGAACTGAGATCTTAAAAGTAGACGGTGTGGGGGGTCAGAGGGCAGCGGTGGATGCTGGGGAAGCTAAGACAGGGCAGCGGTGCAGGACTGACAGAGGTGCGGTGTGAACATGAAGCTTGGGAGGGCCACCAGAAGGTGACATGTGAGCAGAGCTAAGGAGGTGAGCGGATGAGCTGGTGGGGGCTGAGTCTGCACCCTGGGAAACTGTCTGCTAAAGCAAGGAGGCCATGGCTGCAGCAGGGGGCAGAGGGGAGGGCAGCCAGCTGGTGAGAGAGAGCACGCACAGGGAAGATGCCCACCATCCTGAGAGGGCATGGCGGACGGGGYAGATGCACATCCAATGCCGAGAGGAGGCTGAAGTGGACCAGGAGCCGGCAGAGCCCTCAGGGCTGGGGAGTCTGGGAAGGACTGCCAGCAGGGGTGGGGGGTGACGACATGTGTAACAGATTGTCAAGGGCACTGCTGGAGAGCAGACCGGGCTGAGGGGGCAGGATTGGGGGCAGCCTGGGGGACAAGACAGTAGTCTGGGGAGTAGGGTGTTGGCCTGCAGCTGAGCAGACTTGAGGCTGGTTCCCGAGGCTGAGGGAACAGGAGTTGTTGGATCCTGGACACTATGGGATGGGAAGGTGGCAACGACACACCCTAGGTGTTGGCTTGGGGAAGGAGGTAGCTGGGGTGCAGGTCATGAGGAAGGGAAACCAGCAAAAGAAGGGGCCCATAGCAGTGATACATGGCGATCAAAAGATGCTGGTTCAGCCGGGGCCACCCCCGATCCCACAGTTCGCATTACTGAGAGAAAATAAAGGCTCAGAGAGGTTGAAAGACCCCAGACCTACAGGCCTGCACTGGCATAGTGGGTGGCACCTTGTCCAGTTCAGAGAACTCGATCCTCTCCTCCAGGGTGCAGCTGCGACCAATGGGCGAGATGTTCAGCATGCCATTCCGGAACTCGATGAAGGTTCCGCTGGTGGTGAGGAAGGCCCAGGAAAGGAGGGCGGGAGCCAAGGAGAATGAGAGCCAGGGAGAATGAGTACAGTCTCCCTGACTTCACAGGGGACAAGAATCACCCACTGCTAAATCAGGAGCCCAGGGCTGGGGTGCAGCTCTGTGGTAGGGTGCTTGCTAGCATGATGCTGGGACCATGCCAGCATCACCACGGGGGGTGGGAAGCCAGGGAACTGAGTCCAGGTTCCATCTGGGAGACCCACACTTTTCCTCCCTTAAGTCCCAAGTTCTGGAGCCAGGCCAGATGGGACCTCACCGCTTCTTGGGCAGTCTGAGCAGGGCCATGTAGCTGAGGCAGAAGTTGATCAAGTCCTGTAGGAGTTCTTCTCCCAGGTGGTTCTGGATGGTCTGGACAAGGAACACAGGCTCTCAGATGTGGCAGAGATCTCTCCCCAGACCAGAAGGTACCTGTGCAACGTCCCAGTGGGGAAAAGTGGGATACTGCTGGCTAGATCCTGGGGGTGCTGACCTGCTTGGAGAGCAGCCGTCCATGCTTATACTGCACTGTCCCGTTCTCAGCAAACACATAATCAAACTTCTCAATGACTTCAGGGCCACACAGAAGCCAGGGAGAAAGAGAGAGCATGAGATCAGCGCCCGCTTTACCCCGAGCAAGCAGAAGAAGCCTGCACTCCTGGGTTTGGCCTTCAGAGCCCATGGGTTCCATACTGAACCTGCTTCTCCAGCCCTCCTCTCCTTCCACAGCTTTTCCTTTCCCATGAGCCAGTCACTCCTCCAGCTCTTTATATGTTCCCCCTAAGGTCCTYTGCTTATCCTCCAAGATCCAGCTCTTTCCTCTGGAAGCCTTCCAGGACTCCCAGCAGGGGGCGCCATTTCCACTCTGTGCTCCCACAGCCCCACAGTAGAGGAGACTCCCCTTCTGGGCTTCCCTGTTCCCTGGGCTGACTGCCTTGGGGAGTTTTCAGCTCTYGCTGCCCACAGAAGCTGCTGGGGTGGGTGGGCTGGGCTGCAGAGGGAGCAGGGCCAGGATGCTGCAGCAGGGTTTTGGGGGTGGGGGTGGTGATCACCTGGACTATGGTGGGGTGCTGGAAATGGARACGTAGACAGGAGAGGGAGATCATTTTGGACACAAAATGGAAAAAACAAGGGGATGTGGGGAAAAGGAAAATTCAAGGAAGTTTCTGGTTTAAGGAACTAGAGGTTATCAGCTGCCACTTAGCTGAAGTAAAGGTTCTGGGATCCAAATCACTTCCTGGGAGACTTAGTCCACTGTTAGAAATGGGATGATCTCTCTATTCTGGCCAGGATTACCTGAGAGCTTTAACACCTGGTCATCTATCTTGCTTTGCTTTGCTTCCCTTCCCCACTTCCTTACTTCCTCCCCCCACTCTCTGTGTACTGGTATTTAACCCAGTGGTGCTTTACCATTCACCTACAGCCCCAGCTCCTTTTATTTATTTTGAGACAGTGTCTTATTAATTTGCTTAGGTCCTCACTAACTTTCTGAGGCTAGCCTGGAACTTGAGATCCTCCTGCCTCAGCCTCTCATGGCTGGGATTACAGGTCTAAGCTACTGTGCCCTGCAACACCTGGAAATTTTCAACAAATCATAGCCACTATTGATTATGTCCATTTTTTTAAAGCTGGGAATTCTCATCTGAATTCTACCAGACTTTTTTTTTAAATATTTATTTTTTAGGTGTAGATGGACACAACACAATGCCTTTATTTTTAGGTGGTGCTAAGGATCGAACTCGAGTCCCATCCATGCTAGGCGAGCGCTCTACCGCTGAGCCACAATCCCAGCCCCAATAATGCCCATTTTAAAGAGGAGGAAATCTAGATTCAACAGGGAGTCATGAGAATGTAAACTGCAGAAGGTCAGGATTTGGTCAGACTTGTTCCCAGCCCCTGCCTGGCCACTGGCTCACTCAGTGCTTGTTGACTCAGTAAGGGGGCATCTGGCTGCTGCTTCTCTACCTCTTTTGCCCCACAGAAGCAGTACAAGGTCTTTGAGGTGCCCAGGAATATCCTGACTCCCCAGCTCCCTGTTCCCTCCACCCTCACCACTGGAACAGGCTCCAGCCCACTCCTACCTTCATCCCCATCTCCCAGCTGCTCAGCAATCTTGGAGTAATCGGAGCCACCCACCACTCCAATCTGCACCCGACTGCGCAGCTTCTGCAGGAAAGCTGATACCTCAGGGTCAATTTTCTGCAGTGGGGAAGGAGGAAGAGAAGGATTTTGACTCAGGGACCTCCACTTAGCCCCCACTTAGTGCTCAGAATCAGGGAGCTCACTTTCTACCTGATGTTAGTCACTAGGCGCTGAGCATCATAATCTGAAAATCAGGAATGATCCAAAACTCAAAACTTTTTGCTCACTGACATAATACCACAAGTGGAAAATTCTATTCTTGACTTAATCTGATGGGTCACGGAAGCACACTAAAAATATTATATGTTGACCCAGTTATCCCGCTGCTCAGTATATACCCTAGCACTTAGAATCAGCATACTACAGTGATATACCCACATCAATGTTTATAGCAGCTCAATTCATAATAGCTAAGCTTGGAACCAACCTAGGTGCCCTTCAACAGATGAATGGATTAATTAAGTGTGGTACATATACACAATAGAATATTACTCAGCCACAAAAAAGAATGACTTAATGACTTTTGCTGGTAAGTGGATGGATCTGGAGACTATCATATTAAGTGAAATAAGCCAATCCCCAAAAACCAAAGGCCCAGGGCTGGGGATACAGCTTAGCTGGTAGAGTACTTGCCTTGCATGCAYTAGGCCCTGGGTTCTATCTTCCTGTGACTTGCTTTTCTACCAAAAGCAAGTCACAGGAAGGCACATATAGTATAATGCCAATTTATCTCTAAATGATAAAAAACAAAAACAAAAAAACAACTACAAAGGCCCAGTGTTCTCTCTGATACATCTCTGATGCTAATTCACAACAAGGAGGAAGGGAGGAAATAGAAGTTCACTGGATTGGACAAAGGGAAATGAAAGGGAGGGAGGATGGGAATAGGAAAAACAGTAGAACAGGGGCTGGGAATGTGGCTCAAGCGGTAGTGCGCTTGTCTGGCATGCGTGCGGCCCGGGTTCGATCCTCAGCACCACATACCAACAAAGATTAAAAAATAAATAAATATTAAAATTCTCTCTCTCTTAAAAAAAAAAACCAGTATAATGAATCAGACATAACTTTTCTATTTTCATATATGACTATACTAATGGTGAAACTCCACATCACAAGAATGGGATCCTAATTAGAATAAGTTATACTCCATGTATGTATAACATGTAAAAATACACTCTACTGTCATGTACATATCTAAAAAAGAAAAAAAAAWTTCATTAGGCCCTGGGTTTGATGCCCAGCACCAAAAAATAAAAAAAATTAAAAAATAAAAAAAGGAAAAATATAACATTGCCTTCAGGCTATGTGGCAATGTGTATAAGGTGTGTGTGTACTGTTTCCAGTAGTGGGGATTTGACCCAGGGGCACTCTACCACTAAGCTACAATTAAACCCCATTTTTAAACATTTTGAGGCAGGGTCTTGCTAAGTTGCCCAGGCTGGCCTTGAACTTGTGATCCTCTTGCTTCGGTCTCCTGAGTAGCTGGGATCATAGGTGAGCGACATCCCACTCAGCTATATAAGGTATATGTGAAACATGAATGAATTTTGTGTTTAGCCCTATGTCCTAGCCCCAAAATATCTTGTTGTCTCATTATGTATGTGCAAATATTAAAAAATATGAAAAAAAATCCAAAAATATCTCTAGTCCCAAGCATTTTGGATAAGAGATACTCACTTGTCCCTCACTTGTTTTGATGTCYAAAACTAAATGTACCTTAATTCAAACTCTGACTCAAGTCCCTAACAACAGGATGACCTTGAGCAAATGGCTTTGTCTTTCTTTCCCTCAATGTCTCTTCTGTTAAATGGGTACATAGTATACAGGGGCAGCTGTTAGAATTAAATGGGATAATGTATCCAAAGGACTTGGAAATGAAAAACAATGAACTGGTGACTGATGATGTGAAAAGATTCTCCTAATGAAATGTTAGTGAGTTATAAACTGAATTTTCATCCATTTAAATATACAAAATGACAACATCTAAAGTGGGTGACAATGCAGGGAAACAGGCGCTCTTGGATACTGTTGGGGGAATGCAAACTGGTATAGCTGTTTTGGAAGGTAATTTAGCAGGATCTATTAAACTTAAAATTCATATACCCCATCACCTGGAATTTCCACTTCTCTTGCCCAGGTATATACGGAGGTTCATAAGGGGTATATTTATAATAGTGAAAAAACTGCAAGCAACTTACATGCTTGTCAACAGGAGAATGACACACACCTACTCTACTGCAGGTACTCAGGTAAGGCAGGCCTGTGCTTCAATATAATAGGATCCCAAGACACGATGTTAACTACCAAAAGCAAGTCACAGGAAGGCCCATATAGTATAATGCCACTTAATTAAAAATAGCCTTACAAAACAATGCCTAATATTTTCACTGGGCAAACAGTTCCAGATAAAGGTCTGGAAAGAAGCCACCCAAGCAACTTTGGGGAGGGGGCTGAGCCCCTTCCTTGTGGGTTCGGAGGGGACTTTAGCCTTCCCTATTATATTATTTTCATTCTTTACGAAAATGAATGTGTCCTGTGAACACATGTATAATTGAAAATTTACTTTTGAAAAAACGCAAAGCACAGGGCCTGCAGTGGACAATAAACAGGCAGTCCTYGTTCAGGCTGTGGTGATACAGCAAAGGGTGGGGGGAGGTGTGCCTAGGCCCCACCACCCTCCCTCCAGGCTGCCTTTGGCTCCAGGATCCACACCCAGCAAGGGGGCTGATCCCTTTCCAAAACCCCATCCCCAGCCCAGGCAACTTGGCTGGAGGGGAGGGGAGGGGCCATGGGAGGCTAAGACCGGGGTTCCTATCAGCCTCTGCCCAGAAACACACCCCCACTACTCCTGCTACGGGAGGAGCCTCCGGTGGCTCTTGGGGCCCTCATGCTGGAGGGTGGAATACCCACAGGGTGGGCACGAGTGAAGCCTGCTTATTCATGCATCCAGCTGGTGAGGGTGGGTCTGAGGACTCGCCCACGATGAGAGCAAAGGGAGAAAGCTGGGTGCGGTGCAGAGGTCGGAGGATGGTCCCACGGGTTGATTCGGAAGGAGAACTTCACTTCCCTTCTCACTGTGCCTCAGTATCTCCATTGTAACCACCTCCAGGTTTATGGAGCCCCCGAAAAAGGAAAGCAGCCCTCTGCGCTCCATGATACGGATGGAAGGTGGGCGGGTGGGGGCTTGAGAAACTAAACGCAGCCTCAGACCTGCAAACTCAGGGGCGGGAGGGCTCCGAGAGCCTCTTGCCCTCACCAGAGGGCGACGCTGACATTCCGGCGCGCGCCAGGCCCTGCTGGGACCATGGCTTCAGWTGCCAGCTTCGACTACTGGTGCATCCTAGGGCTGAGACGGGGTGGGAGCCCCGGAGCCAGGCCTCGCCGTACGGAACCCTCCTGGGGAAAGACCCGAGCCCCCACCCACAGCGCCCTCCCTCCAGGACTGGAACTAGCCCCAGCGCTCCCGAGAAGGTCAGGGCATGGACGCCCGGAAGGCTGGGGCACGGGTACCAAGGTCCCCTTCACCAGGGGAGCTCGGCCCTAGGAGGGCAAGGGCGGGAACCGCTGCATCCCACACCGGGACCGGGAGTGTCCGCGGTCACGCCGCCGCAGGCCCCATGCTTGCCCTCGCGGGTCCGCGTGACACTCCGGGCCGGGGATTCGGAACGTCGGGGCGCTACCTGGCGAGCCGGCGTGAGGGTCCCGTCCACGTCAAACAAGCAGAGGACGCGCTCCTTCCTTCGGGCGCCCTCGGCGGTGACAGCCATGGCTGCAGCTCCGCGTGCCGGGCGGAGTCACTGGATGCGGCCGCCCAGGTCGCGCCGGGCGGAGGCTGGACGGGGCGGGGCCGGGAGCCCGCCAGGCGGTGCCGCGCTGAGGGGGCGTGGCTAGGGCGGGCCGGACGGGGGCGGGGTCTGGGCCCGCCGAAAGGAGGCTGGAGCGCTCTGGCGGGGGCGTGGCACAGCGTCCCGCGGGCCGGAGGCGGGGCCTGAGCCTGCGCGCCGAAACGGGTCTGCGACGACGGCTGCGGAGGGATCCGGAAGGGCGGGGCAAGGCSCGGCGGGGCAGGTCGGACTCGCCCTCGCCGCCGCCAAGATTTCCAGGGCAGTCCCTTTGCCCTACAAGGCTTGAACTGTAAATCTCCTCATGGCTCAGGCTTTGGACTTTGTCTGACAGCCTTCCTGATGTCATTCGGTGCACTCCTAAGGCCCAGCTCTTCGTCCACCTCCGTGAAGTACCCTGTCCAAATTGGGCGCCGCCTGCAATCCCAGCTGCTTAGCAGGTGGAGGCAGGAGGAGCGCAAGTTCAAAGCCAGTCACAGCAATTTAGCGAGGCCCTGTCTCAAAATAAAAAAGGACTCTGGGTGTGGCTTATATCTTAAAGGCCCCTGGGTTCAATACCCGGTCCACCGCCCCCCCCCCAAAAAAAAAGCCTGCCCAGATCCCACTTTTTTTTTTTTTGTACTAGGGATTGAACCCAAGGGTGCTTTACCACTGAACTACATCATCAGCCCTTTATATTTTTTATTTTGAGACAGGGTAACTCTGAGTTGCTTAGAGCCTTGCTAAACTGATGAGGCTGGCCTCGAATTTGTGATCCTCTGCCTCAGTTTCCCTAGTCGCTGGAATTACAGGCAAGCGCTATTGATCCTTGTTTTGCTGTTTTATATATTTCTATCTCCCTATTCTTACCTGAGAAGGAAAGTAACTTTGAAGTGACTAACCTGTTTTTTATTTCTGCTTTCTTGGGCTCTTCCCTGTCTGTAAAACCAACCTACTGCCAAGCATGGTGCCCATGCCTGTGATCCCAGGGACACCTTGAAGCCAGATTTAAAATTAGGTAGTCAGTGTAGTTAGGTAAATCGGGTCTAATATCAGTGAAATCTAAAATGGCGGCCATACTGATAATGGGAAATGCAGGACAACTCATGGAATGTTAATGAAGTCCCACATACTTATGAAGGGTACTGCTGCTCACAGTTCCTTTGGTAGACCTGGTTCTTTTTCTGTCCGGTAGTAGTGGTTTCCTGCAGAGATCATCTGAGTCAGAGTTTGGAGAATTGCAGTTTGGTTCCAGCTAACTTTAAGGATGTGGACAGGTCATCATACCTTGCTGGGCCTCAGGTTCTGCATTTATATAATGGGGATGTAAACCCCACCTGACAGGAGTATGAAAGGTGAGATAGTAAAAACTGATATTTACCCATCCTCTGGCATGGGGCAGCCAGCATACTGGATGCTTGACCACATATTTTCACTTGCTCTGGGAGCAAGTCTAGGAGGTGCTAATTCCTCCACCTGCTGAAGAGAGAGGGGTGTGCCTGACACTTCACAGAGCACCCAGCAGCCGCAGTTCAGCCAGGTGGAGTCAGAAAAGGTAAGGGAAGCACTTACTGCAGGTGCTATTTTTTTAAAAAAATATTTATTTTTTAGTTGTAGTTGGATACAATACCTTTATTTATTT